TTAAATCAAATTTGAATATCAAATTTGAACAAAATTTTTTACTAAAATACAGTATATCAGGAATAGAATACAAAGTATATAGAGTATGTTTTAATGACAAATATCTGAATTTATAAATCTAATTGAATTTTTCTCATATGATATTAACATTTATAATATTTTATTACATGGTACACTATTTTAAAAAGCATCACATAGGTTATGTTAATTTTTACATCAGGTGTTACATATTACTGAGGTCATATTTTTTGATCCTTTTGAAAGAAATCGAACAGTTAAATATCTCAAGATATTATTGTCTAAGAATTTTTTCTAAATTTTCTGCAAATACAATATAAACAATAATTACTAAATGTTAAGGTATGTATTAACAATATGTATTTTCAATAATGAATTTAAATAATCCAATAATTCATATAATAGTTCAGATCTCTTATCAGCTTTAACTTTGTTATTTTAATTACCCTCTACAAAAAGCCACTTGTACTGCTTGATCTTAAATTCAATATTTAGAACTATACTGTATATGTATAATAAAATATGTAACAGATAAACCAGATATACTTTGAATTTATCCAAAACATAGTGCAGTGAGAGTTCTTTATAATACCTAAGCATGATGAACTTTTCTACAGCTAATATTAAAATGATAATAATAATATGATAATATGTAATAAGAATAATAATGATAAATATTTTAATTATTTTTAAATATTCATATTACATTTAAATATTACTTGATGATCATTACAATCCCAGAAATCCTTTGGAATTACTCATTTCAGCACTGCACAAACAAATGTGGTAACCAATATTTATTAAAATATAAAGGCTATTAGAAAATATAAATATTAAATCATATAGATTCGAATTAGAGTTGAAATCTCAGATATAAGAGCTATTATCTGTAGGAGTATTTTGCACCTGTTAAGATCAACAAAAAAAATATAGAAGTTCTGTACATATAAATTATTTAATTTATTTTGTGATGCTTTTTCTTCATCACAGGACAACAATGCTTAAGAAAGCTTGTGTATCCACATTTTTTATGTCGTGAAATAATTTGTGTAGCACTTAAAGGTATGTCAACAATAGATTTCTAAAAATAAATCTTATTATCAGAATTTCTATTATTAGTGTTGGCTAACTACTTTTTGCATTTTTTATACGTATTTTTTAAATATAATATTTTAATTTTAACAATGTAAATAAATTATAGGCGAATACTAATATTATGCCAAAGATAGAAATTTTGGCTGATGACAGATACAAATGGAGTTGGTTAATGAACCATTTAGTATCATTTCATGTTGGTAAGCTTCACTCTGTCTACATTAATCAATTTAATTTAAATTTTTAAATTAATATACTATTTCCTACTATCAAAAGAGTAGTATTCTCATTTCTGTTAGTCGAAAAGATGGCATTGAAGCACTGTTAAGCAATTCGACCCAAGTTGGTCATGAATGTAAG